ATTGGGCAACATCGCCAACGCCAAACTTTGTTGGTGCGAATACCAAGCTTCATTGGTGCAAATACCTCACTTTGCCAGATAGGCAATGTTCACTCATCCATACCTGCCAAGCCACTAGTCTCATAGTCTAACCCGAATAATTCCCATGAGCTTGGACTCACGGGCTTAGGTTCATCTACAATGAGAGTAAGATACAAATGAGCATATATTTAAATATTTAAGTGTAAAATGTATGAACATATGCAGCAAAGAAGGATACTCCCTTGTGTCTTAAAGGGGACAATGGGGATGAATGTTTGCTACATGCTTTTGCTTGCTGGCCATGGCAGATACTTGCATGATGTTGTTATGTATGGCTGACATGGCACCAAGACAAAGAAGAGGCGATATGGATGTGTGTTGTGATGTCGTTGTCTTGAGCCAAGCATCGCTAGTCGGCGATATCTACTAACACGTAAAGCATATATGATTTATGTTATAAGTCGGGATTATCGGCGATCGATAATTTTGTCCTTTTGTGTGAGGAAATAATGATGTGCATAATGGTGAGCCATGTAGATATTGTAGGGTTAGCCATGAATAGCTTCCCTATAGCTAGAGGGACAATAATGGCTAGCTTTGCCCATGGCTTGAGTGTGAACTACTTGGAATCAAAAGAGCACTCCCACTAATCCACCAAGTCGTGAAGGGGTAAATCTCACTAAGTCAGACTCTACCATAGCGATGAATATGTGACAGAGAGAGGGGTGGAGTTGTCTTTATTGAAGGAGGACACTAGCTGTATCCAAGGCCTCCAATACGACAAGGTGTGATACCATTAACAAACGTTGGCCCTTCTTATCGTACCCACACTGTTAGAGGGTGGTCCTAGTTGTTGTTGCTCACCAGGCACTGCACCACCATGCATAGGCCATTAGCCGTTACTTGATGGATTTTTATCGTTGGAGGGTAGCCATCCTGTCCAATCATAGGGTTGTAACTGTTTTTGGCTTCACGTTAATTGTACTGAGTTGCGTTGACTCTTTATCCGTTTTCAAGAGCCAATGAGAGAATATGTATAGATGTGTAGCCTTTTACCCATTGTTAGAGGCTAATTAAAATAATGAATCTGACCCTATGTCCATCGTTGGGAGCCACAAGAGTTAGTAGTGAATATCGCTGCAAGGGACATGATTGTCAAAAGTGTCTAGCCATGTTGTGGAAATAGATCTAGTCATATCTGGCCATGTATATAAGAATGGTTGCTAGAGTGGGTTGCGTTTTGCAATGTTTCCAGCAAAGTAGACGAATGTCGTTTCTTGTGATCCTAACTCTGTTGCAATAATCAACGGGAAACAAGAATGTTTGATGTGGAAAGTAAGTTGCGTGAGCCCTTATTGATGTGGACCCATACATGTCATCAATT